TAATTAATTAGCGGCCGGGATTGGGTAATAAACTATTGAAAACGAACTAAATCGTTCGTCAAATTCCCCGTTTCTCACTTTTCACCACCATGTTGACGGAGTTCTGTCTAATCTTGTGAAGCTAACCAACAAAGTAGCAGGCCTGGAGACGTGCCAAACAAAACATTTGGTGCCAAATTAAATGAGCCATTTTACCTCTTGAAAATCAATTGCCTTAAAAATACTACTTTTTAATTCTTTCTTCGCGTGTTCTCAGATTTGATCAAACAGTTACCAAGTGCTCCAGTTTTGAAGCACGTATAGATCTGTCCCAGAGTCAGGCATGGCAATATTGGCATGCTATACATAAAAAAATTAGAAGTCAAGCATTTTCCTAGCTTTGATATATGCATTTTATTTTGAAATAAAAATATGTAACGTAGATTCTTAATTTAGATACGTCATGGGAAGATTGCCAATTTTCACTTCGCTGATAAACCATTTAAGTGATGAACAACACGTCTTTTGAGTAACGTGCCACGATCATTTTGCACACAGACTTGCTGAACTGAATTAAAGGTTTGGGGAAAACAGGTCCTTTCATTAAGACGCTACAAACTTAACTTAAAAGCAAGTCATTACTGAAAATCAATTTAAAAGCACTTTGGCCCGCCCCGTTCCTGATAACCCTGGGAAAAGCTCACTAAGCGAGTCAAGGAGAGTCAGTCTAGAGGAAAATTTTCCATCCGCAGCGAACCACTTACTAAAGAAAGGAACTTTCAAAATTTGTTTTTCCTCAGTTATCTCGATCTCAGCTCCGTCGGGCGATAATTTTAATGCCTTTTCGGCACGCGTGAGTCTCAAATCTTGTCTGCAAAGTAAACATATCACGCCCAACTCGATGTGACCATTCGACACTCCGGAGCTGTTTTCGATTCCATCTTTGGTCGGTACCACTTTGTTCCTTTGTGAACGGTTGAGCCTTGAGCAACATTCCACGAATATATATAAGCGTTTCAGCAACTCGGGTTTCATCGGCGAACTATTGATCGTAAACATGCCCGCCTGATCGGACATAACCCTGTCGCTATTTTAGGGCTTCAAGTTGTGGTTACGCTTTAGTTAATGAGTTTTTCATATCGTTGCAAGCTGTGATCCTAGCAAGACTCTCAAGGTTTACCTCTTCTCTTCCCCCATAGTTTTTCTGTGCGAAAGATATTTCCTTAGCCAGATCTTGGAAGGAACCTACATACGGCATTATGTTACCATTTCGTCTACTGCGGCATATCAAGGGAGGCAATGTCATATAAGACGCTTCGGACAAAAAAGTAACCGCACCATTGTAAAAGCATGAAGAGTATAACCAAATTTGAGCAGCAGGCGTTGAGGTCACGAAGACTTCTAACCCACCACGGAGCGGATTTAACTTAAGCCATTTACAAGAATAGTGGCAATAAAATTTCGAACCTAATATCTTGGTTCAAGAATTTGTTGAATTTTTGTCTGTAAGGTTATGTTGAACTCCGGGAGGGAGAGGTACTCCCTTTTTTGGGCTATATAGGTATGTGCGGCCCCAAAGAGATGGTTTTTGCACTCTAGTCATGAATTGGGTATATTTCTTAGAAGAAGCTACTCTTTCATCGTTGTCGATCAAGACCGTCAACAAAAGCCCTTCATAACTTATGTTTAGGGCAACTGTGCCAGCCACAACGGTTATAAATAGGGTATCGAATTTTTGGTCTGGTCATAAATAGGGTAGCAAAAATCGCACACTTTGGTCATAAATAGGGTAAGGGTTTTGGCCGCACTCCCCCACCCAACTTTCCGGGGAGTACCTCCCCCCCGTGTTGACCTCTGTGGTTTTCCGGGATTACCTCCAACATAGTTATGAAAAATTACCTCTCATCTCAACCGAGTTCTAGACATATTTTTGCAACCTCAAAATTAGGTTCTTAATCTGACCTGCTTACTAAGAAAAATGGACACTAATGTTCAAAACAAGTCGAAAACAAAACGTGTGCGTGATAAATGCAGATTGTGAAAAATAGCTGAATCCCTTTGGGATCGAAATTTTTCCCATATTGCGGGCTACCGCGGCTTCGGCCTTTTCTCCTCAGATCCGATTGTTATCTTAGAGCTGTGAGAAACTACTAGCAAATCGCCAAAGTAGGGCACTTAAACCAGAGGGCCTTTCAATCGAAGTGAGAAACGATCTATAAAAAGCTCTCATGTTTTCTTCGTGTTGCGGTTTTCGTGTCAAATGTGTTTCGTGTCACGTGTTTCGTGTTGCGCGTCTTGTTGCGACTTTTAGGTACCCTTTGTTACTTGTCGCCTTTCTTTGTGGTATTTCAACTTGGACAATTTTGTGAGCTGAAAAATAATATCGAGTTTCTCAACTCGCATGAAAACAAGAACACACTATCGCTGAATCTCTTCTAATAGACACGGCAAAAAAGAGAGGTTTCCCGCGACCCCGAGGTACCAGTCCCCCAACTCTCCTTTCTTCCCGTCCTATATGCTTGCTCAGGAACTGGACTAGAGGTATAAGTAAGACTACAAGGGTATAGCTACTACCCTAGGTGGAATGCTAGTCCATTGATGGTTACACCAAAGAATTTTGTTAGGGGTCCCCAATAGCTTGTCGATACCCATAGACGAGAAACCAAAATACGTTGTTATACCTTCCAACTTAAATACGTTTTCCGATTGGAGAAGAGCGTGTCACCTGTCTTGGGTCAAAACTCACTAATTCCCTAGGGCGAACAAAACTCACTGACTCCCTAGGGAAACAACAACTTGAACTTTTCGATTAGCAAGATATATAAATAAGATATGCATACATCTTTACGTGATCAGGTCGTGTTCCTTGAAACCGCGGCAAATTTTGTGAGCCAGCCGGGCCGGCGTCAAGCGAACGATTTCTTTGCAGTTTTTTTCTTTTTTTATTTGGGAGGTATAACATAACACTTAATGACTGGTCCCGCAGGAAATAGTGAGTTTTGTTTCCCCTCGACCCCCTTGAGAGACTCGGGAAACAAAACTCACTGTTTCCCTTGAGGCCAGTCATTAAGTGCCTATTGTTCGCTACTAACACAAAATTTCCGGAAATTTCAATTCGGTCTAGAATGTAAATGGCAAGACAATTTTGTCTCGACCAACCAGAAATATTCCGAAATAAATGGAGCGTCGTGAAATGTAGCCCAAAATTTCCAACCAAAATATCGGAATGCAATTCTTCATCAGTTCCAGCCGCCATCTTGGAATTATGATGAGGATGAACTCATCCCAGGCTCTCTCGGTAAATTGGGGGTTGTTGATTAGGAAATCCGGACGCAAGTTACCACCAGGGAGTTCTGCTTACCATTTGCACAAACTGTTTACAAGCCAATTTCTTCGTGTAAATAGTAAACAACCACAATGGCCAGGCCATGACTCGCGCCACGCCTCTCAAACCACCTACAACTTCAGCCCGACTTTAATAATGCCCACAGTGCGCGCATCTCAGGACGAGACACCCAAGGGAACGTGTTGAGGTGATGTCAAGCGGGAACAAATCCCCCCCTCCATGCGTACGCATAGAATGCCTCTTGCAGGGGCAGCACACGAAACGGAGTGAGGCATAAAAATGTGTTATAGCAGGGACAGTTTGCAAAAGCAGTGCACACGATGCGACATTGAAAACTGAGGTCAATTTGTCGCAGCTTCATGACACACGAATTTCAAACCGGCTAAATACACGAGCATTTTCGCAAGATAACTGCTCCCCGCTTCATTTCCCGGCAACATGTCACCTGGTGTGTGCCGACCTTTGAACTTGGTAGCCGCCGACATCATTTTACAAAATTCTCGAGCTTTCCTGATCCCTGACAAAAAAAATTGCGTGATGTAGCAGCTCTCGTTCACATGAAAGGCTTGCTACCCTTTGAGAGAACAATACAACAAACAACAGAAACAATGCCCCTAACCCTAAAACAATAATAGCTGCTAACAATGAAGAGAATTACAAGCTTACGAGAGCAGCTACACTTCTGAAAAAATTACCATTTCCCTGACTAAATGAATACAGAATTTCCGATATAGTAGCGGCCTCCTGGCTTACTTTCCACCCATTTACCTAATATCGATACGCTTTCAGCGTTTTCAACATTGAGATCAGTCACAGTGACCCAAAATATTTCTTCCAACCTTTCATCAGCAATGTTATGATTTCAATTAGCCCTGACTTTTTTTCAAAAAATTTCCATTCCCTGACTTTAATTTCCTCTGACCGTGAAGACGTTTTCCCCTGACCATTTTCTGACTTGTGATAACCCTGTTTCGATTTCTGATGCATGAATCTCTTAAAACTATTGCTCCCTGCAACTCAGTAGTTCGCCTGCAATTTTACCAATGAATTTATTTCAAGACCATCAAACTATTAAGACATGAAACTATTACAAAAAATATTTTAATTATTCCATTATATTAAAAGTAGTAAAAAAAACATTTTAAAATTGACTACAGATCAAATCTGCGTGGTTTAACAAAACGTTTTTTCTTTTCTTTCTGGCTCCACGCATTGATATATTTAAAAGGGCTTTGTAAGTCTTTTTTAATTAGCTCTTATTAACCGAGCAGGTCTGTATGGGAGAATCTTGACCGAGATCGTGAGTACAGACCGAACGCAGTGAGCGCTGTACACACGACCGAGGTCAAGATTCTCCCATACAGACCGACTAAGCTCAGTTAATAAGATGTTTATTATATGGTAAACAAGAACAATTAAATTCGTTTAATGTAACTGGTTTGTACTAGCTGACATTTTGCTTGCGAACGGCGATGAGCCGAACTTCATTTTGCCAAAGTTTGCTCGCCCCCTTCACTTTTTTTCTCGTCAGGCTTTTTGGCACTTCATAAATATATATTGTTAGAACAAAATAGTCAATATTTTTGCGTTTTGGTTTGCAACTTTTTCACCACAAAATGTAACCGGTCTGTATTCCGGTCTAGATGGGAAAATCTAGACCGCTTTCAATATCGATTTCAGCCAATTAAATTCGTGAATTCGGTAGTTCCCAGTCCTTGTGAGACACAGCCATATAATAAATAGCACATACAACACTACCCAGAGAGTTTCTCATCGTACACTAAAGTGGACCAATACATGTTGGTATATTTAATAGTGTGTGATAGACTTTTTCCACCCACTTGAGGCCAAAGTTATTAAAATTTTCATACAATTTGCGAAATTGCTGGTTTGGTCGCAATAACACGACATCCCCCGGTGAGTCCCTTTACGAACAACATCTTTACCGTTGAATAAAAATATCCCAAGGAGTCGAACGCATCTTGTCCCAGCACCCGTACATGACGTTCCTTCTGCTGGTTGAATTCCAGATGCCTTTGCTCAACGAACGAAGTCCAAGTCTCTGTTAAATCTTCAAACTGAAAACAAACAATGCGCACAATAATCCATCTGCCAAGAATAATATACGATCAGGCAAATCAGGCAACTTCCGCAAAAAATAATAATAATATAAACAAGAAAAAAACCCAAAATAAACCCAATCCTAACTTTTCCCACCTTTGTTACTGATTGCCTGTTTTCCCGCGCTTGGCAGTGATCGTCCGTTTTCCTGCGCTTGGTACCGGCTAAATGTTTTCCCGCGCTTTGCACGGATTGCATGTTCTTGCTTTTAGTTCTGATTGGTTCACTGAGTTAGCTGCATTTGTTGTGATTGGTCAGGCGTTGCAACTTTAAAAATCTAGTTGTCCATACATTTAAAAGCTGTCAATCATGAGTTTTCCGCGCTTGACACAAACTGCATATTTTCCCGCGCTTTGCAGGGTTTGGTTAACATGGTTTCACTTCGAGTCCTCGCGGATTCATTGCCTTGAGTTAAAGTGTTTTCTTCTGTCTTTTAAAAAGCTCTCGTTAATAAAAGAAACTTGCCGAGACAGTATTGAAAGTGTAGGGAAACCCGACGATGTGACGCTGCGAAAATGTAGCAATGCGAAGGTGCGATTAAAAAATGTGTGCTTTAGTGAAATGTTTCGTTTGTAGAGTATCACTGACAAACCTGAATATCAGTAAATCCAGCCGCCTTAAGCTGGCTAATGTACACGTCCTTCTCAGGCAAATTACTCATGTACGCGTCTTCTTCATAAATTCTTATTTGTTCATCAGTTAAGATGACACCTGGTTTCTGAAAAAAATCTTCAATATACCTGGAAAAAAGATAGAAAACTAGAAATTATTGATTACAAGGAATAGAGGAAGGGAAAGAAGCAAGGAGAGGGAGGGAGGGTGGGTGGGAAGGGAAAGTGGGGGCAAGAAAGGGAGGGAGGGAGGGTGGGTGGAGAGGAAGAGTGGGGTGAGGGAGGGGGACACAAGGAGTGGGGAAGGGAGAAAAAAAGTGTTTGCAGGAAAAGAAGCAGCAGGAATAGCTTTTCCCAACGGAAATTGCCCCTCCTAAAGGGAAAATACCTCAGAGAGATACTTGCAAAAATCTCAGCTTTTTTGTTATCTCAAATACTGTTCAGGACCTACATTTTCCCGCCAGGCTTCAAGCTGTGGAAACAGCGTTCAAATAAGCTCTTCTTGTCCGAGATGTGTAGAAATACCAACCAAGATACAATGAAATCAAAAGATCCAGCACCTGAAAGTACATTTCAAAAATACATTTCAACTAAAATGTGCATTAGGGACTGGGGGACCATTTTAAAGTTGTAGGGGCTGCGCTAAAAATCTGGCCAAGACAAGCAATAGCGATCAGTGTTCTGCCATTTATCATGTATTTGCACACCATTATCTATGTAATCTGGTGCTCTAAAAGACAACCCAAGCAAAAAAGTGGTAGGACTGGTGGGATATAGCCCTTTCAACCTCTCCTCCTCTGTGGTCTCTATGCACTGACAGAAAATTGTTCAGTTCAGAAGATCACATATTCAATTTTGCACATACACGTAGAGAACTGATTTTCGATTAAGAAGCTAAGGACTAGGGTGACAGGACACTTAATCCGGTTGAGGAGGGCAAAAGACTGACTGAATAACTTTCTGGCAGTTTCTACGGGTGTATGTCCATAGAGTGATTTTCACTTGAGTGTCAAAAGTATGTTGCATTTGGTTTAGTTTTGTATCACCATGCTTCAGTGATTGGCTCAAAAAGCTGGTGTCACTTTGTCATCTAATCAGTAAAACCACAACCAATCATGATTCGCTCACGCTCATAATTTTCCCTTGCTTATGTGTCAGCTCAAATGTATGTTCTTTGAATTTGATTTTTAGGTTAACTTTTACAATACAACAAACTGTTATGAACTTACCTAAGTCTAATTGAAGAAAATCCCCTGCTATATGTGTCAACCTATCCTGCAGGTTACATCTCTTTGTCAGGTTTTCACCTTCCTTGTGAATATCCTCCTGGAGCTCAAGGGCAGTGACTGAGCAGTTTGTTGTGTGAACCAAGTGACGTGCTGGCCCTCCAAACCCTGAACCCACATCAAGAATCTTGTGGGATGAGCTATTAGAAGCATACAGAAAAACAAAGAAAATGAAATATCCACTGGGCAAGTATGCCAGATGACAAACTTGCCCTCACAAAATTTTACTTGCTTGTTCAGTGGGGAAGTATGGGGACTGAACAACATGTAAATGGAAAGTTTACTTTTCTATTATTTTCATGTGACCAGTCTTGCAGAACACCATGTCTGTAGTTGCAGCGGTTGGTGTTGTGGACTCGGCGGACACAGAAAATCCATGTGCAAATGAAAATCAAGGCCTATATTCGACTGCCATGAAGGCTGAAAGGAATGCTTTCGCTCTTCCTGCTCGTATTTGGATTGTTTTTCCGATGTTTTAACATTACTAAATGCCATACCCTGATCAAAACAGTTGATGGGATCGCGCTGCATTATTTTGCGGTTGCAGATGCAATTCAGAGCATCAGCGGTTGACAAAGAAAGCTGCAAATCTTTCTCAGCTTTCTAACAGTTCGAATGGATGACAGGTGGTTAGAATGCAGGGAACTCTTAAGAAAATTTAAGAAATGATATTTTCTTGGTAGAGTCAAATGTAACTTGTCCGCTGGACAAGTTTCCGCATTGTTTGGTCGTCTGTACAATTTTTTAGTTGTCTCGGACAACCAGACAATTGCGAATATGGATCCCTGTCAGTAATAATTATTTTTACTATACAGACATGAGTGTTTTTACTGGAAAATACACCACTCCTAACATTCATACAAAACCAAATCCGGGAGTCACGTGGCGTATTTTCTATATTCTCAATAGTGAAGATATCACTGATATCTTGTTTGACCCTTATTAGAAATGTTCGGTAATCTGCAGAAATTTTCGGAAAATGTTTGGAAATGTTTGTTTGGCCTTCAAACAATTTTTGGAGAATCTTCAGAAATTGGTTGGAAGTCTAACTGGTTTGTACAAGCTGGCATTTTGCTGCGAACGGCAATGAGCTGAACTTAAATCTGTTTAAGTAGTCCTGTTTACTTCTTATTTGTCCTCAGGCTTTTTGAAACTTCCATAAATTGTTTTTAGAAGAAAATAGTTAAAATCTTTTATATTTTAGTTTGCAACTTTTTCATCGCAAACTGAATGGGTCTAGAAGGTTCTACATGCCTGTATATTTAGATGGGAAAATCTAGACTGCGGTTTTAACGATTTCAGCCAATCAAATCAATGAATTCAGTAGTTCCCAGTCTTTTAATATGCAACACAGCCATATCATATATGTGCCTTTTTCAATACAGACCATGATACTTACCTTATCCCTAAGAGGCCAACAGCTTCATCAACAGCCTTTGTACCATAATAGTGCATCTGATCCACCTTACTGACAACATCTACAGTCAAGGGGTCCCCTGGTTTGTACCCGAGCTGCAGGTAGGTAGGTATTCTTTATTCATCACAGTATCGATTCACATAACATGCTATTTCATCGTGCCATGCAGGGATCGAACACCATAGTTTTGTTCATGAGAGGATAACAAAATATTAATTTTCAAGAGCTTAAAATTCTAAGGAGATTGCTGGGAATCAGAAAGCACGAAAACTCTCTTGTGAGGCCTTTAGCTAAAATGTGCACATAACCATGCAACATAACGTAAATAGCTTAAAAAGCACAAGGATGATGTACGTAACACATTTCAATATAGAAGCGAACTCTGATTTACAAGTGGTGTTAACCACAGGAAATTTTGAAGGGAATCAACAAAATGTACCAGAATCTTGTTTTGTAGGTATTGGTTGAACACATGACTGCCATAAGGGTCCCCCCCCCCACCTCCTGCGGTACATACCTCTTGTAATTCTCTATTTACTCTCTCAATGTGACTATCTATGAAATAATAAATTAAACAAATTGGTACATCAATGATTACTACATGTCAAACTTGTTATAATTAATGCAAATTATGTTGCTCAAACATGTGAAATGATTATTTTGAGTAAGATTTAATACTCAGTTCTTTCAATCATTATGGCACACACCGACAATGACAAACTGGTCAGTGTAAAACACAGACTGCAGACTGTCCACTGGGTAAAATGCAGACTGAAGGTAAAATGCAGACCGGAGACTGTAGACTTTTTAACTGAGTCGGGTTGCCATTTCAATCATTAAGAGCTATAACTGTAAATAGGCTAACATGAGCATTATTCAGGCTAACCAGTGTGATATTCAGGCTAACCTGAGTGATATGCAGGCTAACTGGAGTGATATTCAGTCTTCAGAACCAGTTGAGTGATAATCAGGCTAACCGGAGTGCAGACTTTTCCTGTGTTTAGCCTGAATAACCCTGTTCATGATTAGCACTCAATAATGGGGAAAAAAAGAACTTAATGACTGACTCCAAGGGAAACAGTGGGTTTTGTTTCCCCGATACTCTCAATGTTCTCCAAGGCAAAGCCGAGGGGAACATTGAGGTCGAGGGGAAACAAAACTCACTGTTTCCCTTGGGGTCAGTCATTAAGTGTTTTGTCCTATCTTCCGACTCAAAAATAGGAAACTGCAAAAAACTTATTTGTTTGACATCAGCTGGCACAACAAATTTGTCGTGGTTTCAAGATAGATGACCTGATCATGTGTGAGTCAAAAGTTCAAGTTGTTGTTTCCCTGAGGAGTTAGCAAGTTTTGTTTGCCCTGGGGAGTTAGTGAGTTTTGACCCACGACACGTGACACGTCCTCCAATCAGAAAGCGTCTTTGAGTTGGGAGGTATAACAACACAATACACCGATTGCAAATATGGCGACGATGGCACCAAAGCGAGGCTATTCGGTAGCAACCGTTGCTAAGGGCCGATCGCGTTTGTTTTCAAATATTAGTTTCCCGTCTATTAGAGTTTCTTAAGGCCGATTCCCAGTGTTTCTCTCTTCTGAGTTGAGAAATTTGAAAAAAATCCGATCAAAGTAAGGCAATTCTTTACTTTCAAAGAGTTTACAGTTTAGAAATTACGCATTGAATCCTGTTTTGTCGCGCTAGTGGCAAACGCTCGATTTCGTTGAAACGGTTGCGTACAGAATACATTCAGTATATAAACACAAGTGTTANGATCTCTATTGATTTGATACACTTGCTGTTACATAAATTGTGGTAATTTTGTTTCAATTGTCTTATTTCATAGACTTGGCTTGTAAAGATTAAATGAGATGTATCCACAACATTCCAGATCGTGAAGCGAACCAAGATCTGCTCGTTGCATTTCAGGCCAACTGATTTTCGGAAAGGCTTAGCAGGTCGCCGAGTTTTAAAACATGATGCCGTTCCCTCAATTTTTCAATGGTCTGCACCATCTCCTAAGAGGAAATCGCCACATAAGCGGTCACAACCTCCATCTTCATCGGCTGAAATGCCATCCTTCAGTAGCGTGAGTGAAGCAGACGTCGATACTTCCACTCTGGATGAAATCGACAATTTATGCACGCACATTGCAAAGTTAGAACAACAAGTCAATTTACTTGAGCTCGAAAATAAACAACTTTTGAAGAATGTCGACAAACTTCTTGAAAGCCAGTTTGGCATAGCATGATTTAAAGACTCAGACTCTGATATCAATTTTTACACGGGATTTCCTAATTTCCAAACCCTTCTGGCTTGCTACAAGTTTTTAAACCCAGGTGAGAATGGTTCTAACATTGTTTATGTTAACAGTGCGAAGGAGGACCTAGAGTTTTCATCATCAATTAATGCAGATGGCTTTTTGGGAAATAAACCCGGCCCACATTGAAAACTTAGTACCCTGGACGAATTTTTCCTGGTGCTTGTGAGAATGAGACTTGGGTTATTTGAACTTGATTCAGCCCACAGATTCAGGATACATGTTTCTACAGTAAACAGGATTTGTATTTCCAGGATCAATTTTTTGTACTTAAAATTTGGCTTCCTTAACATCTGGCCAAACAGAGAGGCAATAGATAAAGCAATGCCCCAGTCATTTAGGGATAAGTATCCTAAAACAAGGATCATTATTGATGGAAAAGAGATCAAATGTCAGACCCCTTCTTCCATAGTTTTACACAGTGAAACCTATTCTTCGTACAAGAGCCATACAACCTTTAAAAGTCTGATTGGCATCGCACCCAGTGGCCACATAACATTTATTTCCCAACTCTATGGAGGAAGTATTTGAGACAGGGAGCTCACAGTAAGGTCAGAGTTACTCAACTTGCCTTTTGATCAAGGTGATGTGGTGATGGCTGACAAGGGGTTTACCATTTCTGACCTGCTTGAACCTATTGGTATTGGCCTGAACATCCCCCCATTTCTTGGTTTGCAAAGTCAACAGACCCCTTCAGAAGTTATTGCCACTCAAGAAATAGCTTCAGAAAGAATTCATGTGGAAAAAGCTATAAACAAAGTGAAAAACTTTTACAAATTTAATCAAGCCATTCCATTGTCTTTAGCTGGTAGTCTAAATCAAATGTGGACTGTTTGTGCCATGCTTACCATCATGCAAAATCCCATTATTACTTAGCGATCAATTTTAACATTAGTATATACCACACAAGTGAATAGTGCTTTTCACGTGCACTGATTGGTTCACTGAGATGATTAACAAAGTACTATACACCTCTGAGAAACTAAAGAGAAACAAACTGTCTTTGCATGTTGCTGTGTTTACCAAAAGTGATGTTTTGGTCCAGTAGTTATTCAACTTGTGTGATATACACTAAAGCACTGATTATTCACCTCAGTGGTAGTGAATGTGGTAAATATTTACCTCCACTTCAGTAAATAATTGTTAATTAAAAAAACTATTTTGAGTAATGACAAAAAGAAAACTGGAAAAAAACCTTGTAAATTATGTTAATGTGTGGTTTCAGAAAATATAAATACCCACTCCATTGATTTTAGGGAAGTCAGTTGGCAGGGGTGGGGAGAGGGGGTGTTATGCCACAAAATGTAATAACTGACTCAAAATGTAATAGTAACGCAAAATGTAATAACTTTTGCCACAAAATGTAATAGTAATGCAAAATGTAATAACTTTTGCCACAAAATGTAATAGTGACGCAAAATGTAATAACTTTCGACGCAAAATGTAATAACGTCGGTAACGCAAAATGTAACAACTTTTGACGCAAAATGTAATACATAAAAGTAACGCAAAATGTAATAGCACAAAATGTAATAATGTTTTGGTTGGTATATGTTTGTTGGAATTATTCATTTATTTATTTTTTAATTATTATTTTTTATTTATTAAGATCGTAATAGGCACCCATCAGAGACTTGGTCTAGGCAAGAGTTTCAATATCAAGGCACAATTGATAGCAAAATCGTCCCACTTAAAATGATTGAATTCCCATGCACATCTTTAAATTAAGCTGTACACTAAGATCTTAAAGAACCTAATTTTATACATAAATGATAACTCGGAAAATAATTGGAAGTAAGGGATGACTTGTGCAAGAAAATAAAAGAATATGCCATTTTATCAATGTAGGGTAAGGGATGTAAATATATCTAAAATATATCTGCTTAAGACAATGTTAGAGCAACATTGCCATTTTNCCTTGTTTTTCTACTGGATGAAAAACTCACCAACATTCAGCTTTGTGCTCTTCACATGGAGATGCGCAACACTGAACAGTTACTGGCATCAATTGGTTTGCTTGCATACAAGGTGGATTCCTTACCAAAGGCTCAGGTATGTTAGAAGAGCTAGAGTATAAAGAGTGAACTTCCCTTTGTTTGCTATGTTGAAATGAAAAAAACTGGTTAATAAAAGAAACTACTGGTTCCAAAAGTTCCAAAAAATATTTTAATAAAAATGTAGCAGTTGAAAAGTCACCAGAGTACTTTATATAACAAAACTACTTTGTTTTTAAATGCCTGAACATTTAAGTTACCAGAGGAAAAAAAATTCTTGATATAGATATTTCACATAGGAACCTCTCCTAACAATTTTTCTCATTTCACATTTTTGTTCCTTGCTGTTTTACAGATGTTAAAGCTGACATGGAATCTCGTCTAGTTGAGTGGCAGAGAGAGTTGGAGGAACTCTCTGTTTATTTCAAGAAGCTGTGCAAGTCGCGCAAAAAGTCTCTACCCAAAGAAGAGGATGCACTTGCAACTTATGTTGCTAACAAACAACTGGAACTGGTGAAGAGGGTAAATCTACTATTAGAAAATCAATTGTAGTTGCTGCAAGGAGACTAAAAGTGTCACCGTGTTTGTTTAGTTGATATTTAAAACATTATAGCATATGCTCTGACTAGCTTGCAAATATACATGTAACTTACAACCAAACAATAAGACTACTATATAGTAGAGGTGTTGCAATTCATCATGTTGAAAAGCCTTTTGTTTGATACAGAGCTAACTTCATTTGCTCAATGGTGTATTGTAACATATGCTATTAAAATTTAATTACAGGTCTGCAGAGAATGGAGGGAAATTGCCTTGATAACAAGAGAAAAAGTGTTTAAAGAGACAGAGCAAGGAGAGATTGACCTGTTTGATGTCAAGGTATGTTTTTTGTATTGCCCTAGTCTTCCATTTTCGCCAGTTACATACTTGTTCAGATAATGAACAGTCTAGCCATTTCCAGTGTTCTTGATTGCAAATTAGCAATCAGGAGTACATAGTGAAACATGTATACTATAATCTATTTTTTCTGAATTAAGTGATATTTATTTCAGTATGATTATGTTCAGTTTTAGATCACCCTGGGATTATGTCACAATGTTGTGAGAACTAAATAGTGGTACTGTTGTTGTTACCACATTTCAACATCTCTGTGAACCCTAAGCTATAAGCTGCACTTAATTTCAGTGAAGGATTTTATGTTTCAAATACACCAACTCAAAGTTGATATTACTGCTGGGAATTTAGCAATCGCTCTCTTGTCTACAATGGTAAAAAACATTTTGCAAAACACTGAAATGCAAGAGTCACATGAAATCATTGCAACTCTTCTTCCACAAGAAAATCTATGCTATTTATACCACCAGGACAACATGTAGATGTTGCACATTTCTATATGCCCTATCGTTTGTAATAAACCCCCCCTCCCCCAAATCTTTTGAGGTAGTTGGTACATATATTAAGTGAAATTAAGTGTTGACATTTCATGTACACTTATTTAATCTGGTTCTTTTTTGTTATGTAGTGCAAAGAATGGGGTTTTTTGTTACGAGAAGTATTTGGTAGCAGCCTTGGAACAGGTGATTATGGACATCTGTTAATTGATCATGCTCCAATGCTCATGAGACGCTTTCTGTCCATGACAGAATTTAGTCAGCAAGGCTTTGAGGCATCCCATAAGGACGAACGCCAGCTTTGGCTCAAAGCCTCAAGTCATGATCGCCATGGAGAAGCATCCTCAAGTGAGTTGACCTTCCATTATACAGTATATTCCCAGTCAGAAAACTGTTCATTTAAACACTGCCAACCTAGTTACTGTTTTTGTCTTGAATGCATTACATGTTAAATCCATTCCCCTTTATTCTTTTTTTCTTTTTGGCCAAATACCTGTTTTATTATTTTCCTTCTCCATTTTATTTCTATACTCCTTGGGTTATTTTATCCCTAGTGAAATGTCTCTTCATATTTGGCATGGTATCTGCCTCTCATACATGTATCTGTTAATTTTACAAGTGTGTCCATGTAATGTGCTATGCCTATGCCAATACATCTCAATGAAGCACATGAGAATCAATAATTATAAAGTGTATTACTTTTGTTTTCCTTTGCTTATATTCTCTTATTCCGTTTAGTTTATATATTAACAAGTTTCCTGTTAATATTGATCTGTGACATTGCAGTTGAACAAATGCTAGTGCATTTTTATACAGAGAGAATGTTGTTCATGCGTCTCTGTCTCCGAGAAGCATTAAAATGAATTGAAGGTACATGTAACTCATTAGATTGAAACAAAATTACTGGTTAGTGTTCATGTATAGAACTGTGATGGACTTTCCTTTGATGAATTTTTCTTCTGCCATGTGTATACATGCCTGTACCTAAACAGGTAAATGTTTTATAATCTCTTTACACACAACTCATGTCGGCAAATAGAATTAACATTAACTAAATTTTAAATTCAAATTTCAGCAAATACTCAAAAGCAGAAGGACAAATTCACCTTCCATTTTGCTGGTTGTGGCTGGAAATCAAAGGATGTTTGCTGGGGTCTCGAGGACATCCACTGGATCAAGGTCATGGACCATCTCATGACACTGATGTTCGGGCAGGACTTTTTCGAGTACACCTCTGATGAAAAGAAGACATGCCGTGTACAGGATGATTTCCAGCCAAAATTTAAATACAACAGAGAAGAGTGGCTCTGTGAATATGCCGACATGGCAACTGTCCCTGACAATGTGATCTCAGATGAGAAAGGTCCATGTCTTGAAAAAGGTAACTGGTGTTGTTGAAGTATTAAGTGTGCCTGCAACTTTACCTTTGAAATAATGTTGGGTTGGTAGAGATTATAACTCCTAAAATAATAAATTAGTTGAACAGAATGATTGCAGCAGCACCTTCAATATTGATTTCATTTCGTATTATCAATATTTTGCAAGTCCCATGCTATGTTAACAATGGGGCTTTAGAATTTTCTGTCACGTGCCACTGTATTCCCTCTGAATCTAGATGCTGTTATGTTTTACATTTTGAGTTCACATAAAGCAGCAAGGTATGCACAAAAGTAAAGTAACATTCACTTGATGTTTCAGATGACATAGGTACGCAAACATTGTGTACGTCTTCAGAGGAAGATATGGGTGTTCCTCAAGAGCTGATTTCAACCAGTAATAATATAGTTACAATTTGTGATGAAGAATTGCTAAACGTTGGTGTTGATCAGGACAGGTTTGTTTTTTGTTTCCTTTGTCCTGTATTCATCGTCATAATCTGGATTTCTAGCAGCTTTATTTCCCAGACAATAACAATACAATGTAATTAGATCAGTCTTTTGAGATTTAAACTTTTCACTCCTGCAAAATCTCCTATTGATTATGCCAGAGAAAGTTTTGATAGAGTGTCCAAAGAACTTGTTATGTGTTTGCTTTAGTTAGAGGGATTTACTGCATCAAGTGATTTGCTTGCAGAACCCACACCAGGAGCGCAGGTCCATATACAGACATATGCCTGTTCGAACAGCTGAAATCTGGAAAAAATATATATTTTTTTATTTCCTGAATGCAGTTTTATAATCATTTTAAGCTGACAGATAATTTTTGTGCAGTATAAACGGCACAAGGACATTGGTATTGACAGCATTTAACAACAGAGTTTGCTCATCTGAAGGGTAGATGTCTGGCCCTTTGCTTGTAACCCACTTGATGGTGTCATGCTCTGTTGTACCCATTTTGTCCATAAACACTGTACCTTACTGGTAAAATTGGAGATGGGTAAAATAAACAACTTAATAGTGCATTTTCCATCGCATTTATTTACTGTATTTTATAAATATTCCCCCCCTCTCCTCCCCTAGTTTGGAGCACCCTCAGCACTCGAAATTTACTTCTTTTGGGTACACCTTAAAAGTCTCACACTACACCCCTGCACACCATTTTCATGACTAATTCAATAGAGACCAAAACAAGTATTCAAACTTTCTCGTGTGTTTGCGCATATTTTTCTGTTTAATTGTATTTGCTCCAAGGTTTGAATGGTTCTTTACATTGTTTACATTGACTGTTATACAGTGGTGAGGAAAATAATTATTACTGTGGTGTTATTCTTATGATACTCCAGAAAATGGATGTCCTAAATTAACTTTGTTATAATACTCCCTATCATTAGGGTTATAGCTGTGTTTCCACCACCACCAGCACTGGGCAAGATAGAGATTTTGGCAATGGACCTTGAGACTTTGGAGGAAGGAAAGGAAGTGAATGATTCTGTGGTGGACTTGTTTTTGATGTAAGAGTTGCTTGAGGCTCATAGCCAACTTGCCTAAAGCAGTCTGGTGATGGGAGATTTTCAATGATACCTTGTCTTGTTATCATCGATCACTTAACCAATGACAATTTCCAGGAGATTTTAAGTGCAAGAATATTTTTGCTTTCATAAAATCACTGATATCTAAAGATGTTTTGGAAAAACTGGGCATAGATCGAGCAACATGGTCGAGAAGAGGACTCTTGTAGATACATCATCTTGATTTCTAAACTTACATTTTTATAAACTTCAGAGCTTTAGGGTATCATTTCTAGAATCAACCTTTATTCATGACTAAGAAAGACAGCGACTGGCTTACTGATAAGTACTTGAAGATATCAAACTACTTTTATGTATTAATTCAAGAAATCTTTTCTCTTTAGGTATGCTGCCTCTGAACTTGACAAAGAATTGTTCGACAAGTGCCACATATTCAGTTCCTTTTTTTTCTCCAAGCTATCTCAAAGAGTACAGATAGAGGAATCTCTGTTTTACCATGGTAAATGTGTACCATATCTTCAAGTTTCTTATGAATTTAAGTCCTTTAAAGTTGCTTAAGATTTTTAACTTCTAAGACTGTATTATTTTGATGGAACAAGCTCATCATGTAGTTGGGCTCTGCCAAAATTTTTTGTACTTTTATTTATCTATGGTATGTGTCTTGGAGCTGGTAACCTTTCTGGTGGGGACAGAAACTATATGTTCAAAGATGGTTATAATCTGGAAATTGGGACTTCAATAATGAGAGGAAAAGGTGATTGTTAGTATATCAATTTTTACCCTCTTTACAGTCCCGAGGACCGGCATGTAAGTGCCTCAAGCTTTGTTAGAAATGTGGACCTTTTCCAAAAGATGTTTATCTTCATACCTGTCTGCAGAAGGTACTTACTGTAAATGTTTGCAATTACTTGTAATGGAAGATGCTCAATATTTACTGTTCTTTCCTTAATCCGTTGGTTTGTTACTTTAATCTCAGAAAGCCATGTTGATATGTAAGGGTGTGAGTGTGAGTGTAACAATTTTCAACTGACCTTGGGGAGGCATTGACTCTCTTACCTGTACTTCCAAGGTTGCCAAGAATGTGCAAATGGCGTTAGATCTGGGCAATGAATCACCACGTTTGAATTGGTGTTTAAAATGATAATATTACAGTTTCTGTCACTATCTCCCCTTCGCCTCTGCCTTTAAATAGACAATTCTCTCTTTTCCTTTCAGCGGGCATTGGTTCTTGGCATTAATATATAACCTCCCCTCTTTGATTGGAAAAGGACAAATGGGAAAATATTTGCAAAGGTGAGTGGCATGTAAAATAGTCTATCTATACCTAAAGTGCTGGTTGAGGACACCCTCTGAAAGCAGACACCAAAATTAACTCCCTGTAAGGATATATCTTCCGTAATAAATATGTTTCATTTGAAGGGGCCCCTTGGCATAGCTGTTAAACTAATTGAGTGTCTGAAAAACTGTTTGCTCCATGCAAAGGCTGCAGTTGCAAGGCGCTGTGATAAGTTCTCTTTGTTACTCATAGAGCTCCAATTGTAATCATTGACTCGATCGTCTATGGTTCAGAGGATGGGTTTCATGGCTGTCCTTCATCAAGAGACTGGGAAGCAGACCTGATCCGAAGGTAATCTTATTGAATTGCAGTGACAATTCATGTACACGATGTAACATTTTCCATTGCTGTGGTATTACTAAAACCAATTACAGCCGCCTTTTTAATGCTGAACCTATGATTCTGATTTCCTTGCAGTTTCATAAGATGCGAGTGGTTGGCTAGAGGGAAGGGAGCAGAGGGAGTGGGTTCTTCTCCTGACTTCACGCCAGAGTCGATGCCCCTTTTTTACCCTAAGGTAAAAAGTGACTGTTAATTCATTGATCACTGCCCCCATTGCGACCCAAGTATTTTCTCGGGTTCTATGCTGTGCATTGATTAGAGGAAATGGTCATGAACAGCTTTAAATGTTATTGTAGACCCACCTTTTTAAAATGTTGACTACTTTATTGAACTGTAAAGAAATTTTTAGTCGCAAGGTGAGGTGGAAGGGACGGAATGATGATGGTTTTAGGTTGTTTAATTTTCACTAATTGTAACATCCATAAAAATCCTTGGTCCCACAGGTGCCACAGCAGGAAAATGGATACGACTGTGGAGTATTTGTTATGTTGTTCTTTGAGGCATTTTTAAATCGCGAGGTAAGTCCGTGGTGGGCAAGAGCTGCCATAAAGAGTTTTGATGTCTTCTCGCCTTTTTCTTTTATAAATTTATTTATTTATTTTTTTGTTGTTTATTTTTGATTTGATTTCAGTTTTGTTTTGTTTTTTTTTTATTTTTTTCTAGAAACGGTTGATTATGAAAATGAAGTGAAATTAAAATAAAAACTCTTTCCTTAAATGAAATTAATCTCAAAGTAAACAAGTCTTGCTCTTATGGTACCCATAACTTTGAAACTGTTGACTGACTTTTACATCATATATCACTTAAGGATAAACTTGCTAGGCGCTGCTAATTTGCAAAGACAGTGCATTTTCTCCTTACTCGAGGGCATATTTGGTAACCAAGATGGCATTTTGGAAATAAATATTTTGGTAACCATTCTTTTTTGTTGGGCTCCATACAATTACTATGCTAATCACTTTAGATCCACAAGTTTAACAGTCATACTCCAGACGTGACCAAAAAAATTAACACTTGATTGTTTTTTTTTCTTTTAGTTCCCTGTGAGAGACCTTCTGTCGCATGAAATCCTCCCTTGGTATAATCAAGGTGCAGCTCTGCCCATGCGAGAAAGAATGACAAATCTCATTCTGAGATTGGGAAATAGTCTTGTCTCCGAATAAGCTACATGTAAATAGTTAGGGTATAATCAAGGTGCTGCTCTGTCCATGCGAGAAAGAGTGACAGATCTCATTCTGAGATTGAGCCGAATAGTCTTGTCTCCGAACAAGCTGAATGTAAATAGTTGGGGTGAATCTTTTTTATTATTATTATTGTAAGCCTCGTAACAGTGTTTTAGAGCTATTTTCACCTAAGCTTTGAAACAAAATGCAATAAACAGTTTTGTTTGTGTAATCGTTCAAGTGATTTTATTTTGCTCGTCTTCACTTCTTTGTTTTGAATAAACATTTTGTGAACATGAACGTCAAGCATCGTTCCCTGTTTGAGGATGAATTTACCGAGCGAACACAACAATGTCTCTAATCTGATAAAACCCTACAACTACGTTCTCTTAAGGTGGCTCTATATAGTATTTCNTTTTATGTTTCAAATACACCAACTCAAAGTTGATATTACTGCTGGGAATTTAGCAATCGCTCTCTTGTCTACAATGGTAAAAAACATTTTGCAAAACACTGAAATGCAAGAGTCACATGAAATCATTGCAACTCTTCTTCCACAAGAAAATCTATGCTATTTATACCACCAGGACAACATGTAGATGTTGCACATTTCTATATGCCCTATCGTTTGTAATAAACCCCCCCTCCCCCAAATCTTTTGAGGTAGTTGGTACATATATTAAGTGAAATTAAGTGTTGACATTTCATGTACACTTATTTAATCTGGTTCTTTTTTGTTATGTAGTGCAAAGAATGGGGTTTTTTGTTACGAGAAGTATTTGGTAGCAGCCTTGGAACAGGTGATTATGGACATCTGTTAATTGATCATGCTCCAATGCTCATGAGACGCTTTCTGTCCATGACAGAATTTAGTCAGCAAGGCTTTGAGGCATCCCATAAGGACGAACGCCAGCTTTGGCTCAAAGCCTCAAGTCATGATCGCCATGGAGAAGCATCCTCAAGTGAGTTGACCTTCCATTATACAGTATATTCCCAGTCAGAAAACTGTTCATTTAAACACTGCCAACCTAGTTACTGTTTTTGTCTTGAATGCATTACATGTTAAATCCATTCCCCTTTATTCTTTTTTTCTTTTTGGCCAAATACCTGTTTTATTATTTTCCTTCTCCATTTTATTTCTATACTCCTTGGGTTATTTTATCCCTAGTGAAATGTCTCTTCATATTTGGCATGGTATCTGCCTCTCATACATGTATCTGTTAATTTTACAAGTGTGTCCATGTAATGTGCTATGCCTATGCCAATACATCTCAATGAAGCACATGAGAATCAATAATTATAAAGTGTATTACTTTTGTTTTCCTTTGCTTATATTCTCTTCTTCCGTTTAGTTTATATATTAACAAGTTTCCTGTTAATTGATCTGTGACATTGCAGTTGAACAAATGCTAGTGCATTTTTATACAGAGAGAATGTTGTTCATGCGTCTCTGTCTCCGAGAAGCATTAAAATGAATTGAAGGTACATGTAACTCATTAGATTGAAACAAAATTACTGGTTAGTGTTCATGTATAGAACTGTGATGGACTTTCCTTTGATGAATTTTTCTTCTGCCATGTGTATACATGCCTGTACCTAAACAGGTAAATGTTTTATAATCTCTTTACACACAACTCATGTCGGCAAATAGAATTAACATTAACTAAATTTTAAATTCAAATTTCAGCAAATACTCAAAAGCAGAAGGACAAATTCACCTTCCATTTTGCTGGTTGTGGCTGGAAATCAAAGGATGTTTGCTGGGGTCTCGAGGACATCCACTGGATCAAGGTCATGGACCATCTCATGACACTGATGTTCGGGCAGGACTTTTTCGAGTACACCTCTGATGAAAAGAAGACATGCCGTGTACAGGATGATTTCCAGCCAAAATTTAAATACAACAGAGAAGAGTGGCTCTGTGAATATGCCGACATGGCAACTGTCCCTGACAATGTGATCTCAGATGAGAAAGGTCCATGTCTTGAAAAAGGTAACTGGTGTTGTTGAAGTATTAAGTGTGCCTGCAACTTTACCTTTGAAATAATGTTGGGTTGGTAGAGATTATAACTCCTAAAATAATAAATTAGTTGAACAGAATGATTGCAGCAGCACCTTCAATATTGATTTCATTTCGTATTATCAATATTTTGCAAGTCCCATGCTATGTTAACAATGGGGCTTTAGAATTTTCTGTCACGTGCCACTGTATTCCCTCTGAATCTAGATGCTGTTATGTTTTACATTTTGAGTTCACATAAAGCAGCAAGGTATGCACAAAAGTAAAGTAACATTCACTTGATGTTTCAGATGACATAGGTACGCAAACATTGTGTACGTCTTCAGAGGAAGATATGGGTGTTCCTCAAGAGCTGATTTCAACCAGTAATAATATAGTTACAATTTGTGATGAAGAATTGCTAAACGTTGGTGTTGATCAGGACAGGTTTGTTTTTTGTTTCCTTTGTCCTGTATTCATCGTCATAATCTGGATTTCTAGCAGCTTTATTTCCCAGACAATAACAATACAATGTAATTAGATCAGTCTTTTGAGATTTAAACTTTTCACTCCTGCAAAATCTCCTATTGATTATGCCAGAGAAAGTTTTGATAGAGTGTCCAAAGAACTTGTTATGTGTTTGCTTTAGTTAGAGGGATTTACTGCATCAAGTGATTTGCTTGCAGAACCCACACCAGGAGCGCAGGTCCATATACAGACATATGCCTGTTCGAACAGCTGAAATCTGAAAAAAATATATATTTTTTTATTTCCTGAATGCAGTTTTATAATCATTTTAAGCTGACAGATAATTTTTGTGCAGTATAAACGGCACAAGGACATTGGTATTGACAGCATTTAACAACAGAGTTTGCTCATCTGAAGGGTAGATGTCTGGCCCTTTGCTTGTAACCCACTTGATGGTGTCATGCTCTGTTGTACCCATTTTGTCCATAAACACTGTACCTTACTGGTAAAATTGGAGATGGGTAAAATAAACAACTTAATAGTGCATTTTCCATCGCATTTATTTACTGTATTTTATAAATATTCCCCCCCTCTCCTCCCCTAGTTTGGAGCACCCTCAGCACTCGAAATTTACTTCTTTTGGGTACACCTTAAAAGTCTCACACTACACCCCTGCACACCATTTTCATGACTAATTCAATAGAGACCAAAACAAGTATTCAAACTTTCTCGTGTGTTTGCGCATATTTTTCTGTTTAATTGTATTTGCTCCAAGGTTTGAATGGTTCTTTACATTGTTTACATTGACTGTTATACAGTGGTGAGGAAAATAATTATTACTGTGGTGTTATTCTTATGATACTCCAGAAAATGGATGTCCTAAATTAACTTTGTTATAATACTCCCTATCATTAGGGTTATAGCTGTGTTTCCACCACCACCAGCACTGGGCAAGATAGAGATTTTGGCAATGGACCTTGAGACTTTGGAGGATGGAAAGGAAGTGAATGATTCTGTGGTGGACTTGTTTTTGATGTAAGAGTTGCTTGAGGCTCATAGCCAACTTGCCTAAAGCAGTCTGGTGATGGGAGATTTTCAATGATACCTTGTCTTGTTATCATCGATCACTTAACCAATGACAATTTCCAGGAGATTTTAAGTGCAAGAATATTTTTGCTTTCATAAAATCACTGATATCTAAAGATGTTTTGGAAAAACTGGGCATAGATCGAGCAACATGGTCGAGAAGAGGACTCTTGTAGATACATCATCTTGATTTCTAAACTTACATTTTTATAAACTTCAGAGCTTTAGGGTATCATTTCTAGAATCAACCTTTATTCATGACTAAGAAAGACAGCGACTGGCTTACTGATAAGTACTTGAAGATATCAAACTACTTTTATGTATTAATTCAAGAAATCTTTTCTCTTTAGGTATGCTGCCTCTGAACTTGACAAAGAATTGTTCGACAAGTGCCACATATTCAGTTCCTTTTTTTTCTCCAAGCTATCTCAAAGAGTACAGATAGAGGAATCTCTGTTTTACCATGGTAAATGTGTACCATATCTTCAAGTTTCTTATGAATTTAAGTCCTTTAAAGTTGCTTAAGATTTTTAACTTCTAAGACTGTATTATTTTGATGGAACAAGCTCATCATGTAGTTGGGCTCTGCCAAAATTTTTTGTACTTTTATTTATCTATGGTATGTGTCTTGGAGCTGGTAACCTTTCTGGTGGGGACAGAAACTATATGTTCAAAGATGGTTATAATCTGGAAATTGGGACTTCAATAATGAGAGGAAAAGGTGATTGTTAGTATATCAATTTTTACCCTCTTTACAGTCCCGAGGACCGGCATGTAAGTGCCTCAAGCTTTGTTAGAAATGTGGACCTTTTCCAAAAGATGTTTATCTTCATACCTGTCTGCAGAAGGTACTTACTGTAAATGTTTGCAATTACTTGTAATGGAAGATGCTCAATATTTACTGTTCTTTCCTTAATCCGTTGGTTTGTTACTTTAATCTCAGAAAGCCATGTTGATATGTAAGGGTGTGAGTGTGAGTGTAACAATTTTCAACTGACCTTGGGGAGGCATTGACTCTCTTACCTGTACTTCCAAGGTTGCCAAGAATGTGCAAATGGCGTTAGATCTGGGCAATGAATCACCACGTTTGAATTGGTGTTTAAAATGATAATATTACAGTTTCTGTCACTATCTCCCCTTCGCCTCTGCCTTTAAATAGACAATTCTCTCTTTTCCTTTCAGCGGGCATTGGTTCTTGGCATTAATATATAACCTCCCCTCTTTGATTGGAAAAGGACAAATGGGAAAATATTTGCAAAGGTGAGTGGCATGTAAAATAGTCTATCTATACCTAAAGTGCTGGTTGAGGACACCCTCTGAAAGCAGACACCAAAATTAACTCCCTGTAAGGATATATCTTCCGTAATAAATATGTTTCATTTGAAGGGGCCCCTTGGCATAGCTGTTAAACTAATTGAGTGTCTGAAAAACTGTTTGCTCCATGCAAAGGCTGCAGTTGCAAGGCGCTGTGATAAGTTCTCTTTGTTACTCATAGAGCTCCAATTGTAATCATTGACTCGATCGTCTATGGTTCAGAGGATGGGTTTCATGGCTGTCCTTCATCAAGAGACTGGGAAGCAGACCTGATCCGAAGGTAATCTTATTGAATTGCAGTGACAATTCATGTACACGATGTAACATTTTCCATTGCTGTGGTATTACTAAAACCAATTACAGCCGCCTTTTTAATGCTGAACCTATGATTCTGATTTCCTTGCAGTTTCATAAGATGCGAGTGGTTGGCTAGAGGGAAGGGAGCAGAGGGAGTGGGTTCTTCTCCTGACTTCACGCCAGAGTCGATGCCCCTTTTTTACCCTAAGGTAAAAAGTGACTGTTAATTCATTGATCACTGCCCCCATTGCGACCCAAGTATTTTCTCGGGTTCTATGCTGTGCATTGATTAGAGGAAATGGTCATGAACAGATTTAAATGTTATTGTAGACCCACCTTTTTAAAATGTTGACTACTTTATTGAACTGTAAAGAAATTTTTAGTCGCAAGGTGAGGTGGAAGGGACGGAATGATGATGGTTTTAGGTTGTTTAATTTTCACTAATTGTAACATCCATAAAAATCCTTGGTCCCACAGGTGCCACAGCAGGAAAATGGATACGACTGTGGAGTATTTGTTATGTTGTTCTTTGAGGCATTTTTAAATCGCGAGGTAAGTCCGTGGTGGGCAAGAGCTGCCATAAAGAGTTTTGATGTCTTCTCGCCTTTTTCTTTTATAAATTTATTTATTT